CCCCGCCCCCCACTCACACACATAAACACTTTCTCTGGTGACGAATAACTGTCTCCACAATGAGGACGAAACGATTTACTGTTACGCTACAGTGTTCTGTTTGTTTGTTGTTTATATGACAATCTTGTGGTAGAACACAGTTTGCATTTTACAGCTGAACTCATTTTTACACCACCCCATGTATATCTTGTAATTCCCTTGGGATTTGCTCTTAACCTCTTTACTTTGAAGACAAATTTTCTCTCTCTCTCTCTCTCTCTCTCTCTCTCTCTCTCTCTCTCTCTCTCTCTCTCCCATTATTAAGGCCTCCCACCCACGTTGTGATAGCTGGGTGCTCTGGTCTGGTTTGCTCCTACTCACCCTATCTCTTTTCCTTCTTTTCAGTCTTTGTTACTCTGTGATAACAACTTTTATAAGTGGAGATATTTTCAAATGTTGTGACAAATATTGTGAATTAGGTGGTTCAAACCAGTTAGGTTTTCACATCTTCTTTTCCCCGCGCTTGAATATGTCATTGTCCTCCACAGTCTTATTCTTATGTGATACATGAACTTCAATTTCATTATCGAAGGTTTATCCGTTTAATAATATTATTTTAGTGAGAAAATTTACTTCAAAGAAAAAATATTTTTTCGGGTTCACGTTTCAAGTGTTATATATTCTTTCTTAATCGAAACTTTATGTCGCCCCCCAGTAGAATCATGCCATCTCTCTCATTTCTCAATGTTTTCCCCTATCTTAGCATTACAAGTAAAAGCAAACCTACTGAGCACGAGAGATCGCCATCTCAATCTTTTCTCTTCCCTAACAATGGGAGAGACTTTACAGACGTTCTTCCTTGGTTTTCAGTCAAACACATTCAGAGCTACACAATCTGCAGGGATGTTCAAAGTCATTCCAGAGCATGAATTTGGTAAGCAGTTTTCATCAATACATTTAAAACGTGAACAGCCTGTTTTTACATATTATTACTTCACTCTTAATTTAATAAAGGAATTATGCTACAAGAGGTGTTCAAGAAGTCTTTACTCTGACTTAACTCAAACTGACTATTAGAAAATTGTTGTACAATAATGAAACGTAAAGACGGGGTTTTCTTTTTTCTTCTGGGTCCCTCAGTGGGAAGATCTTGGAAAATCTGAGGTGCGTTGTTAACTTGGAGTACTTTTAGTGCACATACTTCCTGAATGTCAAAATATAATGCAATTTTAATGGAGCAGTGTCAAAAATGGAATCTGTCGAATATCGCTCTGTAATCGATCGTCTAGTTGAACTGGCAAAGAAAACCACAAGTGACAGTTTTTGAGGAGTTGTCAAGTGTTTACCTGCTAAATCCTTTCCTTTGAAACTGATACATTTGGACCAGGAAGTTCGAATCAGGCTGTCTATATCATCCATCCCGATCGCCAAAGACGGCAAAGGTGCAACCTTTAAGTGGAACAGATATGCTGTCAAGGAAAAGGAATCCTCAGGCAGCACAACATTTCTTCACCGCACATAGCTAGTGAGGCAGCTAAGACAGCAAAGCACAGTGTCTTCGAAATTATCCCGCACCCACCCTATTCACCAGATATTGGCCCTCCGACATTTTCGTTTTCACAAATCTGAAAAAATTATGCTCTCAAATATCAGCGTTATCATTGTGATGAAAATGTTATTTCTGCGTGCGAAATAATTTGGTTTCCATTCAAGGTCATATTCCACTCAAGGACTTTTGATGGTCAAACAAAGATGGAAAAAGTATATAAATTTGTTGGGTGACTATGTAGAAAAGTAGTACTGTGACTGCCAAATTTCAACTTCCTCTAGCTTGCTTCTTCTATAGTAAGGGTAAAGACATATTGAACGCTCACGTACACGTGCATCTGTATTATAAAGAACACACACACACACAAAAGACAATCACTGTAGTAACTGATCACACTTGTTGTTGAAAGAAGAATCTCACTAGTTAGTCAAATATGAGGATGATGATGATGATGATGATGATGATGATGATGATGATGATGATGATGATGATGATGATGATGATGATGATGATGGTGATGAAGAATATGATGATGATCATCATCATCATGATCATGATGATGATCATGATGATGTTGATGATGATGATGATCATGATGATGATGATGATGATGATGATGATGATGATGATGATGATGATGATGATGATGATGATGATGATGATTTTTGCTGTCACGATGTTCTTTTTTTTTCCTTCTTCTTCTTCTTTTTCTTCTTCTTCTTCTTCTTCTTCTTCTTCTTCTTCTTCTTCTTCTTCTTCTTCTATTGTTGTTGTTTTCATTATTACTATGGTTGTTGTTTTGTGCAAGTAAATTAATTAGGAACTGAGTTTAAGGGAAGTTTGTGATGCTGAAAAATTAGAGGACAAAAATTACAACGTACAAAACAGGAATAGACTTTCATACTTCTTCTTCAGGACGTGTCAGATCTGGAGCAGACATTGACGATATTATTATTGGTACCCCATTCCTTTCTTTTGTCTGTCTTCTTGATCAGCTTGGTTTCTGTCTCTGTGTTAATTGTTGCAAAGTTGTTCAGGCTATCTGTGTGTTCGTTCTTTGTCTTCCTCGATATCTATTTTTGTATACAATGTACTAGGAGTTAAAAAAATGTTTAAGTCAGATTATCAACACATGAATGCCCTCCTCCTCTAGACCAGACGACGTCCTTGAACAACCCATCAGAACGCTTCCAGGTTACCGACGGGACGTCAGTCAGCCAGTTACCGTCTGGTACGTTTAACGATAATGTCCTCCACCATTTGGGCGGGAAACCTCCAGGTGACCACGATGTACTCACACGCCCCACGTCCAACCTACAGGTAAACTGGCAACTCTTTTGCTTTTTTATTAAGTGTTTAAATATAGATTTTGTTATACCGACATCGATACAATTTCGATCATTTAGGAGTCGGGTTTCGACCCTGCCTGTCAAGACCAATCTGGACTGACAGGAACAGTCTTTTCAGTTTAGTAGGGCGTGAGGCATAATAGTTGATATTATATAAATATAAGATACCATTTTGGGTGTAGTTTGGCAAAAAGCAATATTATGGTCAATCAATTTACTTGCACTTTGTTCTACATCAAAGTAAAACGTGAAATTAGGTACCAAATGCACGGTCTACAGATTAACCAAGGAATGTGTTTGGAGACCGCCAATGGAAAACGAATGTAATTATTTATTGAATAATTAAGGTTTTGTCGATCTATCTTTGTGTTTGGAATCAAGCCCTGGGTGAAAACTTTTGGGTCACTCACTCATCGAGGTAAAATTACTCTTCCTCCTTCTCCTTACATTTCAAATATTTTCAACTGTAAAATCTCTAACTCTCGAGGATGGGAAAATGTATAAGAGTTTTGGTTTTTATCACTCTAGAGCCTTGTGTCCCTCAGTCTTCATATATTATGTCGGCTGTATCATGTATTTCTAATTATTTGAAACAACAGACTATAACCAGCGTGGCTCAAGGTATCTACAGACTCTGTCTGTATAAACTTATAATTGAACAAGTTACTTCGGCCTCTGCAACACGCACCTTCGATTATTTGTTTGGAATCCACCCATTTAACAGAGCATGCACCCCAACCGTCTAGTGGTAAGGGCACTGGACTCGGACTTGTGGGTTCATGGGGTCCGTGACTCAGCTAGATCCGACGGTATGTCTTAGAGAAAAACACTTTACACGTAGTATCCCATTTGGTTATGTCCTATGGGGGATGAAAGATAAATTTAGAGGTCACAACTCTTAAACAACCTAACAGTGTTTCACAGGGCTTTAAACGTATACAACTTTGTTCTGCAATCGAAATATGCGTCATTCTTTGGCGCTCAGGGCGCTCGTCAGTATTCTTGGGCATATGGAGTTATTGGTATAATCTTAAATCATTTTTATTTGTCTTGCTTGCCACGAAAGACATATTCACCTGTCTTGAACAGAAATTGATATTGTTGATATTAAAGAAGGTGGTGGTCACTTTGTGTCAGAGGTACAATTAGCGAGAAAAAGGCAGGCAACGTTTGTTGACTTCCAAAGTTTGAGTATCCTTGATAACTGTGAATTTACGTTTTTGTCACTTTGATGAACGCTTTTGGGTAAAATCCACAGTAAACAGGGCTTTTTAAATGGATAGAAAAAGTGTTCGAGCAAAAAGGGGAAAAAAATTGTCCACCAAACAGAAACGTGTCAGTTTCTTCGATTTATTATTTAACCGAGCTCCTGGTTTTAACACGATAACACGCTCATTGGAATTTAAGAAGAATGTAAATTTTACTCCTATAATATTATAATAGATCTACCTGGTTGTCCTTAGTCTACACGCCAATAAAGTATTAACGCCTCGGACATCTCAGGGTAAGTCAAAAGATAGGAGACACCAGGAAAAACAGTGTGACATACACGACCATGACTACAACTTTAGATCAAAACTGTTTAGCTAATGAGCTTACCCATGGACACAAGCTGGATTATTTAGAAAACTGGCTGTTTCAAATCTATTTGTCAAGACCTTGTCTTTGCAACAACGAAAAAAATACATGCGTTCTTACATCAAACACATGCTCTTCATAAAGAGATCCAAACTCCCGTGTCTTTTTTTGTTTTGTTTTGTTTTCTTTTGTTTATTGTTGTTGTTTTTGCTTGTAATGAGAAAATCATGTGCATTAAACCCAAAGCTCAGCATAGTCAAATTGTAGTGTCATGTTAAATATTGTTATGTTCTTGAAGTGTCCCTATAAATATAGGATTTCTCTGTTTGTTCTCATTACTTTTCCAATAAATGTGACAATAACTGTTATCCTCAGCGCCGGTGGATGCACAACATTTACCAGAAGCGGGCGAAAGATGGCTTCCGATACTGGCTCATCAACAGACCCCATCCAACAAACTGTACGGCCAGTATAGCAGCATAATAGAACTTTTTTATGTTTAAAGAATTTTATACAATAGTTTCGTCGTCATTGTCATCGTCGTCATCATCATCATCATCATCATCATCATCATCATCATCATCATCATCATCATCATCATCATCATCATTTTGTCTTTTATACGACTGTACTATGATAATTTCGTATCTGGAAATTTATTATTTAAGGAAAATCAACGGATCTTAGACATAGAGGTACTTATTTATGACGCCAATGCGCTTCAATTCGTTTCTATTTTTAAAGGCTTTTGTTATTTTATTTTTTAAAATTTTTTGTTGCTATTACGCATTCTGTTATTGTTATAAATTAAATATCTAGGCGTAACTAGTAAACACGAAAAATATTTTTTTCTATAAAATCGAGACGTAAAATATTATTTTTAATTTTCTTCACCTTACAATACAGATCCTTTGTGTTTTTGATACACCAGTATAACATACACACACACACACACACACGCACACACACACACACACACACACACACACACACACACACACACACACACACATACACATACATACACACATACACACATTATTAAAGCTAATAACAAAAGTAATATTAAAGCTTTGTTCATATTATTATATTATGTTGCAAAGTACAGTGCAATCTATGTCCAATCTACATCTTTTCCAGTTGGCAAGTATGGCATGGGCTCTTACAAGATGGTGATGGGTATTGGAATGGCACCCCGAACTTGAAAGACACATCTATTCATGGCGTCATTGCTTTAGCGGAATGTTACGTTTTCAATAGACCGAAAAAACCAAGACGTTGGAACATCACTGAACATTGCCAAATGGCATTTTGATAATTCTTATTCATGATTGAATTGGACACTGTTAACAACCATGCTACCATGCGTTTGTGGAAGACAAACCTACCCCGACTGTGTATGCTATGTATATTTGTGTTTTATTCACTTACTTAAATCAAAATATGTTATATTTGTTTTACCTAATTATTAGTAGAGTGGGGATCATCGTTATTGCTTAGCATCTTTTTGGGTTAGACAAATAAGTAGAATGCAACTAAGCTGAATTGATTAAACATGACATTATTTTTCTTTCGTTTGTTTTTGTTTGAGTTTGTTATTATCTTTTACATTTGTGTTTTGGTTGAGCATCTTTTGTATTGACTTCCCGAAAGATAGGTGGGGAAAAAGAGGGGGGGAGGGGGGATCAAAGTAGTTTTGTTGTGTGTGGTTTTTCTGAGGGGGGTGAGGGGAGATTGTTTTGCTTTCTCTTTGATGAAACATTTCTTTCACTGCTTACATTGTGAAATGTAAACAAATGATTATGTTTCATGTAGTGTAATCAAAATGAGTTTCTGTGCGTGACGACATATTATCACGACACAATGCACCCAAGAAGCTAAACGGTGATCAATTGAAATGCATTCCTATACCCATTTAAGATTGAGCAATGTAAGTAAATTACTAAGGTAGTATTACCAATAGCTATGTACAGTGCTTGATTTTGAATATTTCCTGCATGTTCTAAATCTGTCTTTAAATTCTTTTTATATTTACAGTAAACTCTTGAAATAGCTGTCAGCTCTGAAAGCTTTCTTATAGCGTATAATTAAATTTTTTAGCTTTTGTCCGCAATATCACCATAAGTATTAAAAGGTATATATAAACAAGATAATGGTTTTGAGTTGCTCAATATGCTGAAATGGAAACGTGAAAAAAAATATGCAATGGATCAAAGGGCTTCAATCCATCTGACTCTGTCAAAGTATTCACGTATTTGACCTCTTCTTTTATAAAAAGAATATTTTTTTAAAAAATACATACACTATTTTATTGATTTCTGTATGGACATAATAAGTTCAATAATGGTATGTGTAACAATTAATTATGTAACATTGCAAGTTAAAACCATGGCATGGCATTGCTTATGGAACTTACTAAAGGTAAGCAAATTTATATTCCCATAGACTGGGATTTATGAAACGCAGGAATACAATAGTCCTCCTAGACCTGTTCCATTACTCATTTCTTGAGCCTTGCGGGGTAGGGGTTAAGGTTAAAAGAAATTGGAATGTGTTGGAGGTACAGTGGTCAGGTGAACATTGAACTCACACACAACTTACACGACATCTCGTAAGCTTTCAGGTTCTCTACAAATGGGTGCAAAGTACGATTATTTGTTTAATCTTTAAGCGGAAGAGAACAATGAATGTGGTCCCCAACCTGTTCTGTAAACTCTTCGCAAGATCGAGGTGTTACGTTTAGCAAGTATGAAGAAGTATCCATCATCAGGAAAACTGAAAACAAACTGGGAAATTTGTGAGTATAGTCCACGCACAAATCTTTCGATAATATTGGAAACATTTTCCTTCCTGATTTCCGGCTCCATAATGGAATACTGTTTGCCTTTTCCTTGCAAGAGGCATTTTCCCTTTGACTGAGGTTTTGTGATTTCCTCAGTGATTATCATGCTAGACATTACTTAGCTGACCTTGATGCCCTATTCTGGGCCGTTCTTGAACGTTGATTGTAGCAGAGCTTTCATAATAATATCTCTATATTTAGGTGTTTCGTTACTAAGAAAGAAAATGGACTCTAAAAATGGGCTTAAGTAAACGTAAAAAAATCTAAGAACTTTGACCAACTCTTAGGAATCTCTATATAAAAGTGGACTTGGGAGGCTTTGTGCACAAACTCCTCCCTTATTACCTAATCCACACCTTTGAAACTTTGCAGGCGTCTACAGCATCCATGTGGCTAGAACATAACTTTAAAAAAATCCACGCAAACTGCTTTCCCCGATTTTTCAAAAATTCTTTGTTTCGTCCACACAAAGTTCTAATCTTGGGAAAGTCCGTCTTCTAAGACGCCATTGTAAACAAGTGAGGTTTCCGTTCAGTAGCAGTGCGCATTGGTCCCACACCTTTAAAATTCTGGAGTGTATGACCTCGAAAGCAGAATAGAGAATCAATCTATACATCACCATATCTGCCGTGATCTGACAAAACGCATTTTTTCATTTTGGCGCGAACATTTTTTATTCCACTAATGAATTCTACATGTTTAAAGCCAACTTGAGATATAATTATGAAAGCCTAAGTGCGACTTGTTTTTAAATTAACTAGCTTTTTAGATTTGTTAAAACGCATTTATTTCCAACGTGATCTGATGAAACACATTTTTTCAGAGATGATCTGACAAAACGCATTTTTTTCTTGCGTATCGACCGTTCACATCACCTGTGATCTGGTAAAACGCATTTTTTCCTTCCCGAGATGGACAAAAAAATGTGTTTCATCAGATCACAGTTGACGTATGGTCGATACGCAGATAAAAAAACTCACTGCTGGCATCTGTTTGATACGTGGAATGTTCACATGCTTCGCTGAAGTGACCTTTTTGTCCCAATTTACAAAGTCTGGATAGTTCATTTGAAATACTTTCGGGCCCCCACCAGCGGATTGCACTGTCGCCACATAATCGGTAAAACCGAAAATATTTCCCTTCCTTCTCATATTCTCTCAACCTTACCATGAAACGAGTGACAGGACATGAATGTATGACCCGTTTCAAGGTACTTCAAAGTGACCCTGTGGAGAAAAGGTTTGCTGCTGTCATTTAACAGCCTTGCCAGGGACGTGAACAAATACCAATTTTTATTTGGTCCT